TTGATTGATTCGATGAGATCTTGACATATCAAGATCCTTTCGAATGGATTGATTCRATAGGATCTTGACATATCAATCGCGAATCGATGAGAATGTCATCGCGACTCGATGTCCACTATCCCGAGTTAGCTAATCAATTAATCATTTGATCAATCGATCAATCAATCAATTAATGAATCAATCGATCAATCAATCAATCGATCAATCAATCAATCGATCAATCAATCAATTAATAAAGTTTGAATGATTGGTTGGTTGGTTGGTTGGTTGATTGGTTGGTTGGTTGATTGATTGATTGATTGATTGATTGATTGATTGATTGATTGATTGATTGATTGATCGATCGATCGATCGATCGATCGATCGATGATTGATTGAATGATTGATTGATCGATCGATCGATCGATCGATCGATCGATTGATTGGTTGAGCTGGGATTAGTTGAGATCGAGTCGGGATCGGTTTGTTTAGGGACCCCAACCTTGGTTCACGCGATCTCTACCCAGATATTCATCTCAACGATCGAGATGTGAGATGCTGACCGCGATCGTGAGTTCGACTGATTGGTTGGTTGATTTATTGATTTATTTATTTATTGATTGATTGATTGATTGATTGATTGATTGATTGATTGATTGATTGATTGATTGAATTTCACACTCAGTACCGCCACTGCCCCGACTATCGCGACATCCACGCGACCCTTCGGAGTGGCAAGACCGTCCCGAACTACTCTCTTGGGGACAACGATCTTGTGTACTGGTGCGGTTCACAGGGCATCAGAGAGCCCCGTATTTGCGTTCCCTCCACTTGACAGTCACGAGTCTGGGCAGTAGCAGAGTTCCATGAACAGGCAGCCGCCGATCATGTGGGCTTCTACAAAACGTTGGCTCGTGTGAGCCGCCTGTACGTCTGGCCGAAGCGCAAGGACTTTGTGAAGGACTACATTGCAGAGTGTCCTACCTGTCAGGAGGTGAACAGTGCGAATCACTTGCCTTATGGTCTGCTCCAGCCTCTTCCTATCCCTGAGGGTCGTTGGCAGTCCATCTCGATGGAGTTTATCAGTCCTCTTCGTCCTCCGACCCCCCGTGGTCATGATGCTATCCTGGTTGTCGTCGACCGCCTCATGAGGCGTGCACGCTTTGTTCCGTGTCGTTATGCCATCAGTGCACGTGAGGTTGCCGACATCGTGTTTGACCGAGTCGTGCGTGACCACAACTTACCTCTAAGCATCATATCTGACCGTACCCCGCGCTTTACCAGCCGATTCTGGCGACAACTCCACGAGGTTTACGGCACCCAGCTCCGCTTCTCCTCGTCTTACCATCCTCAGACTGATGATCAGACCGAGGTCACGAAGAAGACTCTCGGAGATATTCTATGAAAGATTGTTCGTGACGACCAACAGTGGGATCTCCATCTTGCCCACGCGGAGATAGCCTACAACCATGTCGTCTCGCCAACCATAAGGATGTAGTCTTACTATTGTGACCTCGACTATCACCCTCGTGTTCCTGCGGATTTCCTTCGACTGTCACAGATGCACCCCGACACGAGTTGTCCCGCGCTGGATGATTGGGTTGCACACACGACGTCGATCATGAAGACTGCACATGATCACATAGGCGCTTCCCAGACTCGCATGGCCTCACGTGCGAACCGATTGAGGATGGATCATCCATTCAAAGTCGGTGATGATGTGCTTATCGACGCCTGCCACTTATAGCTCGAAGCGGACACAACATGTTATTCATTAAAATAGGACATTATACTGTGTCCTCTTTTCAACGAATTCATTTGTAGCTGCAGCCTAAGCAACGTAGGCATGCCCATCCAGGGCTTAACCACATGCAGAAGAGTGCTGAGATCCGCACTTGTGAAACTTTATAACTGAAATCCCAAATGCGGAAGCGTGTAGAGACCCACACATGTTAAGCACGCCGCCCGCGAACCTTGTGCGGAAGTGTGTTGGGATCCTTACTTGTTGAACTTCAAAAACGTGCTGGTGATCCTGCGGGAAAGTGTGTTGGGATCCATACTACTCAAACTTCATAAACGAATAATGAATGGCACGCCACACAGGGAACCCTGTGCGGAAGTGTGCCGGGATCCTTACTTGTCAAACTTCAATTTCATAAAATTTAATGTGATGAAAGATATTATATTGTGACACTATCCTCTTTCTTACGAAATCGTTTTTCACTGCAGTGTTTCCACATAGGCGTGCACATCCACTCGACCAAAATGCGAAAGTTTGCTGACATCCATAGTTGTTGAACTTTATAAGCAAAATTAGCAATGTAATCAAATTGAATTGGAGAGACTCAGTATAATTCTTTCGGTTATCCCAAAGTTACACTCAGCCCAGGTTCATCGTCTTGTTGAAGACGGTTGTTGAGATGTATGATGACATCCGAACTTGTTTAGAAGACTTGTGACCCTAACAATGGGCGGGAGTGTGCCGAGATCCGTACTTGTTAAACTCAAAGCTTATGTATGTGATGAGCAAGGTGTAATGATCGAACCGTCGTTGGTCAACACATCAAATTTTCGTTTACCAGGTTAGCCTTAAGTTATGTAAGTACACCCATCGTCTCACCCGAGATGATTGTTTGGATGTTGAAGAGATTCGAACTTCCACATTAAGGCACGGTCATCATCTCGCCCAACATGAGGGCACTGAGGAACACACTTGTTTACAGTTGTGATGGGCAAGGTGTATTTTAATAACCATTTTTTTCGAATTTTCTATGCACAAATGTAGAACTTAAAATTGTGCTCATTCACGATTAATATCAGCAGTTTAAATGGTATTGCAGAAGGTTTGGGCATCCACTGACCACTTTCACATAAGATGACATTTCTCATGCATCCACCAATCAGTTTCACAATCATGTTTACACTTCCCTTTTGAAACATGGAACAAAATACTTGTAGTGGAACAGAAGTCGAAACATGGAACATAACGTATGGCATGTTCCGCTGCATTAGAAACGTCTGCGACGTGACAGAGATCACAAAGCCCATACATGACGCAGGACATGCAATGAGCTTGTTGTAGACAACCCAAACTCGGAACAACAAAAGAAAGCAATGTCGTTGGCAGAAGGACAGTTGAAAAATGTCTCCATGCTTAAGAAAAAAATTCAATGAACAACGAATGGAACACCTTAAGAAAAGAGTTTCCAAGTCAATCAAATCCATCAAAGACAACGATGTTGTAAGAAACATGATGGTAATTGTCATGTAAGAATCGGAATATCTTTAGAAGATAACGTCTCGATTTACAAAATTCAATGAACAACGAATGGAACACCTTAAGAAAAGAGTTGTAGTCAATCAAATCCATCAAAGATAACGATGTTCTAAGATACATGATGCTAATTGTCGTCTAAGAAGCGGAATATCTTTATAAGAGAACTGGAAAGGCCGTCGATCTCCACGTTGCAACAACGTCGCATACATCAACATGAACACCCTACAGCTTGCTCCATCCACTTGTCTCGGAACTCCATCCACCACAACATTTCGCACTATCGACTTCCAACTCCTACCCGACCGCCTATGTGATGTTTGACGTTCCAAATACTGCACAATCAACCCGAAACCAGAAAGATAAAAACTAGAATCAGATACAACGCGAGGCAAGAAATTAAAAATTTTGATAACATCATCTCCCATGTTGACGGAAAGGAGGATCTAGTGATCATCATCTTTGTGGACAGGAACGAAGAGAATATCGTAACAAAGCAAATCTACGTTTCTGGCCCACCTCCGCACCCCACCGTGTCCTTGAAGTCGCAGTTTACTGAAGAAAAACGAATTAAAGCTGAAAACTTGAAGTTCCGACGAGATGTCACGTGACCCACATGCGGTTGACCCCAACAACGCCATTATATAGAAATTGACCACCTCATCATTCACCCTGCCGTCGACATGCAGCAAGGTGAGGAAATATTTTGCTGCAGTCCGAAATTGGCCATCGCCCAGTATAGAGAGAACAGTGTGAGACGACACCGAGCCTCGTAAAATGTCGTCCAAAACCCGTAAGCTCAGAGGCGCAATCGGTGTAGCGAAACTTTTCCCGCGTGCTGCACTTGCAGCCCGCACTGCACAACATCGAGCAAAGGACACGTGGGGTAGTGAGAAACGGAGTTCTAGGCACTGTCCCCCGGAGCATGGCGCGTTGCTAAGTACTTCTCATACATTGCCTGACCCCTACTCACAGATCGTGGATATGTCCCTTTCTCTAGGGCAAGAAGGGAAAGACATTCCTCAATGGCAACGTTGTACTCCTTTCCGATCTCGACATCAACCCCTGATGCCTTTAACATATCCTTGTGTTTTGTAGTCAACTCGGGGACTTTCTGCAATATGTGCTCATGATATTTGGAGGACCTCTGTGTTCGAGATGACCCCACCCCTGTATAACAGAAGAAAGACACAACGAAAAATGAGAACCATACAATCACATAGACACAACAGTCAAGCAAGACCTCTCCGACCATAGGGCCCTGATTTCGCGTGGTCATGTGCACCCAGGTGTGGTTGTGATACTAGAAAACAAAACGACTGCAACATTCTAGCTTAACACTCCCGCACTTCGCAAAGGAAAACCACCACAACTCACAGAAGCCAAAGGCCAGCAGTCCCCGAAGTTCGGATTGCGGCGGACTTTTCAACACACCAGCCCCACTGAGACTGACCACATCACGAATCTACAAAGAAAGTTCGGTTCCCGGCGGACTAAAACCGACACTATTCCCGGTAAGGGAAAACCGTCAGTCCATGTACTTGGCCACTTCCTTAGCCCGTGGCCACTTCCTCAGCCGGGGCAGATCCTTCCTTGGATGGAGTGTAAGTTTGTCGAGGAACTTTTCGCAGCCCTCGACCAGAAACCCGACCGAGTGACAGATAAGCCAACGAGATGTATTAGGAAGGGCTGGTGGCTGCAGTATGGCAGCATCCGAAACTTCCCGTATCGACAGACAGTGTGGACAGCCGTCGTGTGCACAGCGCGGACTGTAATCTGACGACATCCGGACGCGCAGGCAGTGTGGCGTTCTTCACGGCTTACCAGTCTGTTTCTCTCTCCGCTCCTTTGATGGGGAATTTGGCGTGGGCAAAGCGAGCACATCGAGAGCTTGACCACCGACCCTCGATTTTTTTGAGGACGTGACATGTTGTCGTCCCCCGACCTCGCCTTCCTCTCCGGCGGCAAGGGTGGCCGGCAGGACCAGGGACTTCGGCGGCGACGAAGCTAGGGCAACTGCAACGGGAGACGTGACGTTGCCAGTTTCGTCGTTGTCAGACATTGTGAACAGACGGGCAGACACGTTGTGGTCGCCGAGGATACCGTCGATAACTTTGTCAATGCTTATACGCCGACTTGTTCTAGACGGGCTGATAGCGACCTCCCGGCTCTTCACTCTGCTCTCATTCAACACGGAGAGAACCTTGTTTCTCCAGTCGACGGACAACTTCTTGTGTCCCGCCGACTTCTCCGTCACCTCAATCGAGTTGTCCTGGTTGCAACCCAGGTACGGCGGGAAGTCCTTGAACAACGCCGAGTCCGAAACGTGTTTCCTGCTGTTATCCCACAACTCGTCATCCAATCCCTGACTTTCAAACTTCCTGAACACTGCAGACCTCGATTTCATAAAAGGGTACCTTTGGATCCAATCCGCGTCCGACCTCTTCCCGTGTTTGAACTGGTAATAATTCCACAAACGGAGCAGCAAGCGGTCGCACTTCACCAACTGCACCATGTCCTGCACGCTGAGCTTCCCCAACTTCACCAATGACGGGGAGCCGGCCTGGACCCAAACGACCTCGGAAGCAAGCACCTTCTTTAGAACTCGACACTTCTCATTGTCCGTGAGTGATTCCATTGCTTTCCAACAATGCGCGTTCGGGTCGGGCACTTGCACGAACCAATCGCCCTCCTCTTTCTCCTTTTTGCCTTTCTTATTCGGTGGGTCTACGGGGACGTTGTACACCACCTCAGTTCTGCCCAACTTATCGTTGTGGATGTAGGCGACCCCAGGCTTGACGTTTTTGACCTTCTTCTTTTTCACGATCTACTTCGCTCCGTTGTGGCTCAGCAATCTACCTGTCTCCCATTTTTCGAAAAATTCCAGGGCCAGTTTCCAGACATTTCCTCCTGCCATCGCGAGAGGGAAATAAGAACGCAGGGCAACATTTTGCTTCTTAAGGGCCTCCTCTTCCTTTTGATCCGCGAGAATCCACAAGTTGATGTGAGGCGCCTTATGGAGCACCGTTGTACAAAACTTACGCCAAGCCAGGACCTGATCTTGTTTACCGCTAGGGTGCCCCATCACAGCTCTCGGGCAGCCGTCATGCTTCCACTTCCACCGAATGTCTTTCATAGACAGCTTCAACTGTCTGGGAGGCGCCTTCAGGTCCTTCTTGTTGTTCTGTGAACTAACAAGAAAATACCCTTCGAAGTCGTCGTCCGAAAAGTAAGGCATTCGCGCCGGCCACCGCTCAAAATTGTACTTCTTGGCCACCTCGCTCCCGAGCAGCGACCGGGCTGCCGCCGCGTTATGCTGCCCGCACACCGCGTAGTAGTAGTATTCTCCCACCAGCTCGTCCTTCCACTCCTCCGGCTTCAAACGTTGAGGCTTGGTCCCGGGAGTTGGTTTTTGAAGCCCCAGTGGTGCGAGCTTGAAGATCGGCAACTCGTACGTCTGCTTTTTATTTTCGAACGCATACTGCATTGCTTCTTTTATCGTTTCCACGAGAACAGGATCCAACGATCGCTGGTTGTAAAGATCCTCCCACTCCCCGAGGTCGACGATCTGAGCCGGGCTAATCTCAAAATCCCGCCTTGTCCTGACGCCGTCCTTGTACTCCAGGAAGTACCCGGCATCCACGTCGATGACAGGCCTTGTCGTGGAAGGTCCTGACGCAGGCTGTTTCTGTTTTGAAGCCGGACGTTTGCTACCCGGGTGGTCCTCCTCCACCCCCTTTCCCTTCCGTTTTTCTCCCGTAGTCTTCGGGGTCCTCGTCTTTTGTTTCTTTGAAGAGCTTACCACGTCCTCTTGACAATCTCCCCTCCTTTTTTGGGGAGTCCCCTGCGGTCCCTCACCGCCCACAGCCTTGTCATCCGCGCCATGGCCCTCGCCGGGCTCCAAGTCGGACCCACACTGGACTGCCTCTTCTCTCGGATCCGCTGCGACCTCTTGTCGTACCCCAGGTATGGACAGCACGGACCAGTCTCTTTCCCTCGACGTCGAAAACGGTGGACGCGGTGTCGCCTCATCTTCGCTATCGTCAAACAGACCTCTGGCATCCTCCCGCTGCACATGTGTAGCCTCGCCGGAACCCAGGTCCCCCCCTTCCCCCGCTGCCCCGTTCGACTCACAACCGCCGCACAGCTGCAAAGGCATTGACAGTTCCAGGTCGGGGCCGACTTCGCAAGGGACGTCGAGGGCGATGTCCTTCTCATCCAACAAGTCGAAGAACTCTCAACCCAAAACAAACCCACCTTGCCGCCGGAGGTCGTTGTAGAACGGGGTGTTCGCAGCACCCGCTCCGAACCCCTCGAACAGACACATGTCGAGAACCGCCCCCTTGGCACCGACGACGACGTTCCCCTTAGAACCGTACACATTTTTCATGTAGAACCGCCGATGACTGCCTTTCGCATTCTCCCACCGCAAGACAGCCCCCAGAACCCTGCGGCGCTTGTTGGCTTCGACGAAGATTACAGGACCACACGGCTGTTGAAATGGGTTCGAAGCATCACCACAGCACCAGTCCACGAATCATTTCGACCTTGCGTGGTCCGACCACGACCTCGAGGTCGTAGGCGAACGTTTTGTGGAATCTTAACCTGATCCCATCCGGGAGGTTGTTGCAGGCTCCCCCTCGCCCCTCGACGAAGACATCTTGTCTGCGGACGACAACGGAAAACAAATGAACCACCAAAGAGCGTCATGTCGCAGACAAAACACAACGCAGGCAAAAAACACGGGCGGCAAACATTGCGGCCAACCGTTCCGGGACCTTGAAGTTCGGATCCCGACGAACTTTGGACGCGAAGACCTTTAATGACCTCTTACCTGCAACGAGATCAATCTTTAAAAAGGGACACATGTCATGCGGCCGGGCGACAACCACATTGGTATTTCCGAAATACAGATGCCGACCACATGGGGAATGAACGGGAGGTCATGTGCGAAGCTCGCGTTGGACGGGGCGGTGTCCTCCGCTAAGCACTCGAAACACGGACAGGCTAGTACGCGAAGTCCGCTAGGGTCTCGACTAAAGGACAGTGCGACAGAAAGAGAGAAACAGCCAGCCCATGTAGCCGGCATTCCAGAACCGGGCTCGAGCGAACATACTCCGGAACTGCATTTGATCAAAACCAGAAGTCGGAGATGGACTCTCCCAATAGCCGGGCGGGTTGTGCGAACCATCGGACGGGCATGTCCGAAGACAAACCAACGCACCTCCCGAAAAGTGAAGTTCGCCGGGATCTGAACTTCAGGGCGAACTTCAGGACGAACTTCAGGACGATGCGACAGGCAGAGACGGCGTCAGAGACACACGGTCCGTGCACTCAACCACGACCTGGAAATGCCACACAGAAACGAGAGGCCGGTTGAGAAGGACAAGTTCGCCGAAATTCGAACTTCTTCTGATATGCGCAGCAGCCGTGACAACATTATATGCGTCCCTGGCAGGACAGAACGACACGTGCGGAACAGGGCGGAGAGGAGCTATTGTCGCAATCCACGGGGGATCCGGAAGACCACTGCCTGTCCAATAGACAGGCGTCACAGGAAGTCCGCCTGGATCCGAACTTCTGGACGCCACGAGAAAGATACACAGAGATAAGCACTGGATCACGTTCGAGCTCGGATGGAAGGTGGGGTCCGAGCAAAGTTATGGTGGGAGAACCGCGGGTCTCACAGCTGAACGCAGGTTTTGATGGAAGTAGTCATTGAGTTCGTCAATGCTCAAAACATATCCAGATGCAACAAGAGGGCCCGCAAACCGGGATATCTAACGGGTTTCAGTAAACGTGAAGCTCGAGTGACCCTGCGCTCATTGGAACCTGGGATCCCTAAGAGTGCTTTTGCCATTTCGCGACCGGGATCCCTAAGAGTGCTTTTCGCATTTCACAACGACAATGACCGACTGTTTGGCACATGCCGATGGTGGTCGGGCGACATCCGAACACGGAGAGTGTTGGTGAAGTTCAGTTGGCGACGGGCTCAGATTACGAACGTCGGTGGGCGTAATTGGTCGTTCAAACTTTTCGAAGGCCGCGGCCTCAAGCAAGACCGTGCTTGTGGTGCTCGACGGTTCTTGCGGTCCGCCCGACGTCAGCATTACGAAAGACAAACCAACGCACATCCCAAAACGCGAAGTTCGCCGGGATCCGAACTTCACCGCGGCGTGACATGGAAGGAGACGGCGTCAGAGATAGACCTCTTACATGATTGTCGGCGGTTGTTGAAATGTTCGACGACCAGGGATTTGTAGGACAAGTGCACGGTGTAGCGTCTACTAGCAACTGTTGCCTCTCACACCTCCCTCCACTGCTACACATCTAATATTGTAGGCAGCAAAACGACATCTCATATCCCTCCCTTCTTTTCCCTTAAACAGCAGGTCTGACTACCAGTTCAGACAAGCCGACATTCGGGGTACCCCTGGGACGACGTCGCGAACCGAAGCCATACAAAGCATTCATTGATGATCCGTATACGTGGATCTGCGGTTCATCCACCGATGCCCTCTCCGAAAAGACGAACATGTATTTCATCCTAGCAAACACTCCCGGTCGTGCTAAGGAATTCCCTATACAGTCCCGTATGTTGGACACTTTCTCCTCGACCTCACGATGCAACAAAAAGTTTTGGACCTGCCCTGCTATCACCAAATCGCGCCAACCATCTGGACATACAGGCCCACGCGTCCGCACGAATTTGGACCCCTCAATCACCACCTCGTTCCGTGACACAAGCACAACTGCGTCAACGAGGTTCCTGCTCTTGTTCCAAGCAGCAATACATAGAACTCAAGCGTAATCAGTCCCCGACACATTCAATCGCACACAACAGTATGACACAACGTGTGGAGAATTCCCGGGGCACCGCAGCGCGTACTGCTCCAGGAACGAGCAGTGACGAGCGCAGACCACCAACTCTTGTTTCCGCGAGCCTCCCCAAGTTCGTGGCGACGACCTGGCGTAGTGGCACTCGAGGCGGCTGAAATGGCGGCTAATGCAGCCAAGTGCTCTGCGCATATGGTTCAGGAACTTGTGTTCGAGGACAACGTCAGACACCGGGATGAGGTTCCCGAACTCCAACATGTTGCCGAAATTGTACTGGCTCGCTTATGGACAACGACTCTCCATCATGGCCCAATTCCCATCGCACCACTCGTCAATATGCAGTCCCGTGCACGGGACGACGGTCATCCAGGGGTCCTCGTCGAAGTCCTCTGCGGTCGCTCCGTGGATCGTAGTCACACCATTAAAATACCGCACGGATCTCGTGCAAGGACGAAATGGTTCTGCCATGCGAATGTGCGTCTCGGGACTCATCATCTGTGGTGTCGAGAACATCGACTCCATGATTCGTGGTGTCGAGAAGGTCGCCTCCATTACGCACCCTACACACCATGCGCACATACCAAATGAGACACACGGGCACGAAGACACTCGTAAACATGTCGTGTTCCACGATCTGCGACCTATGGCATTAGACGGACCACACGCTTGAAGATCTGAATCCGGGTGGTCGACTTGGTTGGTGTTCACTTCTACCGGCTAGTGGGCCAGCCGCAAACATGTCCCACGAGAGGCGGGAAGGTCATGTCCGGCGTGATCCGAACTTGGCGAGACTGCGCAGGAGAGACAAATGTGTCTCTAAAACTCGCCGTCTTGAACTTTTTTGAAGTTCGGATCTCGGAGGACATGACATTTTTACTAATCCAAAGTTGTGGCAATCCACTGGGCGCTAGAAACTCCACAGTCTGAACCCACACCACCAGGGATTTGAAGCACGCCTGTGTCCGAACTTGACGGCCGCACGACGAACCGTGAACGAGAAGTTCGGATCCCAGCGGACTTCGCATTTTATTGAATCCGAAGTCCGCCCGGGTTCGAAATTGACGAGTGTCCGAGGAACCGTGCATGGAAGGTTCGGATCCACGGCCCAGCAGGCGGGCCGGAAACATGAATCGCGAAAGGACGAAATCTTAAGTTCGTCGATGTCCCAACGGACTTCAAGTGTTTAAGAATCCGAGGTTGTGGCGATCCTCCAGGCACCCAAGTCCGCATTCTGAACGAAACAATGCTAAAAGCGAAGTTTGCCGGGATCCGAACTTGACGTATGTGCGAGGGAACGTGCAGGAGAAGTCCGGATCCCAGTGGACTTCGCATTTTCACCAAACCGAAGTTCAATAAGGTACGGAATTGACGACTGTACCAGGGACCTTGCAAGCGAGGTTCGGATCCACAACCCCGCAGACGGGCCGCAAACATGTCTTCCGGAAGGCGGGAACATGAAGTTCACTGGGATCCGAACTTGGCGAAATTGCGTGGGAGAGACACACCTGTTTGCGAAACTCACCGTCCGACAATTTCTTGAAGTTCAGATCCCGACGGACTTCAAATTCCTGCACATCCTCGACTGTGGTTGTGGGGCGGGGTTGCGAAACATGTTCGAACAGGTGCACAAGCTCGCCGGAATGGGAACTTCTTCCGGCGTTCGATTGCGCGATCAGTTCAGTTTGATTGCTCGATCAGTTCGCCAAAGTTCGACGTCCGACGAGGTTCGACGCCCGCCGAGGTTTGATGTGAAGCCAGGTTACATGCCCAACATGGTTCGATGTTATTCAAGGTTCGATGACCAACAACATTGTGTGATCCGTTCGCGGGCACATGATTAATTGCCTTGTGGATTCTCCGCGACGAATGGATTTGTCGCAGATCGGTCGCTCGATGCCGCTGCTTCCAACATCTGCAGATTGATGATGTGGTCGGCGAGCGACCGGTCTATCGAACTTGTTGGTAGTCTTCGACAGAACACTCGATTGGTCAGGAGATCTTTCAGGATCAGCTGTTTGATCGGGTGCTCGGTTGGCGGTTGGTGTGCTGATAGATCAACCACTCGAACAACCGCCACCAGAGCACCCGATCAAACAAGTTATCGTGGCAGATCTCCTGACCAATCGACTCTTGTTTCGCCGACAGGTTGATCGCGCACGCGCACACGCAGACGCACAAACGCACGCACACACACGCACACGCACATCGCTTGCAGGAACACATAAAAGGTCATGGTGCTAAAACAACACTCGCACGGACACGCACACATACACAAACACGCACATCGCCGCGGTTTTGATGTTGCCATTGAGACAAGCCAAACACACACGCGGTGGCAACGTCGGGACAACCAACACGATCAATCGACCGATCGCGAGTAATCTGTTAGCGTTTCGCGATCGGTCGGATGGATGCGTTTGCGATCCCGATGTTGTCTCCTCGTGCACTGATTAATCATCCGTTAGGCGGATCAGGGGCGATATTGTTCCGACAGCAATCAACATCAATCACCCCATCGCGAGTGTTCGACTTATGTTTAGTGATGGGTTGGTTCATCGAGTGTACGTTGTAGACATTGTCACCACGTGTTCGCGCGAAGCTTTCTCTGCTGGTCGGTTGAATCGATCACGATTGACCTGATCGTGTTTCGCGATTGGTCGACGGATGCGTTCGCTGTGTCGACATTGCCACCGCCTGTTTTGATCGATCATGCATTGGGCAGAACGGCGGATCTAACAGTGGGACATCACAAAGGATCACATCGAGTGTGGTAAGTGCTCAAGATGTGATTGTGTTTCATGATTGGCCACCACGTGTTCGATAAGACCTTTCGTGATTCGCCAGACAAGCACACGATTCTCCGCGCGTTCAATGTGCGCAATCATACACACACACACAAAAATGACGTGGAAACACCTTCGCGCGCATCTCCTCGCGTTAAATGTGCCCAATCACACACACACACGCACAAATATGCACAGACAGGCACACGCACACACACAAACATACAAGCCCGCACACGCCGCCCACACACACACTTGCCTCTTAGATCATGACACGCGCACGATCCTTCCTCGCGCGTGTGGCATGCACGTCATACAACCACACACACAATAAAACACGCCCTCGAATACACTAACACAAAAACAATCACACATACACACACGCGCACGCACAAACACACACTGGCACACACACACACACACACACACACACACACACACATCCACCCGCACACACGCAAACACGAACTCTTTCAATCTGTGCGAGCATATCAACAAAAAACCCACCCGCACTCGCACACAAACACACACGTCCCGGCTGCGGCCGCACTCACTGTGTGATACTATCCAGTGGAGATTCGCGCGATCCGCACCGTCAATCCAGACAACAATCTGTCGACCTTTTGGCTTGTGCTTTTCGTTCGCGAGTGTGCTGCGTGGAGTGCTTTGTGTTTGCGAGGGCAGTGCGTGGAGTGGTGGGCGTCGGAAGTATCGTTACGCGACGTCGAATATGACATGGACAGCAACTTTGAAGGTGGAGGGAGATGCGAGGGCATGCGGGGTGCGTCAGTGCCGGGAAACGAGCGCGGTGAGGAATGTGTGCCCCTGCTCTTTGCCAACTATGGCGCTCCAACTGTGCGGGGTGTTGTTGTTGATGACAGTGGCGGTGCGAGGCTTCCGTCGGGCAGCATCTCCCCTGCAAAAACGCAGAACGCAACGTTAATGCCCAGGGCGCCGCTCGTACTTGCAGGCGCGCAGGACTCGAGGCCCCCTCGGGCCTTCCGTTTCGGAAAATCGCGCAGGGACCGTACGCCACCGCACGACTGTTCGATCCTCGCATCGAACGGTGGCTCCGCGTCGAAATTTCCCCGAAGGGGACCTGCTGAGCACGACATGACAAAAAAGTCCCTGTGGGCCAGCCCTTCCCGGGCGTCATTAAAAAATAGAGCCCTTTTTCTTGGCCGCTCGCGTTCGTGTCGTCGGGTTCGCGGGCCCCGCGCGAGGGGGTCTCAGGCAGCG